CCAATGTCATTCAACTTCTTGCTAAATCCATGAGCTTTTTGTGCAAATTCCTAGAACTTTTACCAGTCCTTTATATAGCAAAAAGGTATGGAATTTTTTTTGTTGTTGTTTTTTAGGACTAGAGAATTTGGACGGAGGGAGAAATAAAATCCAGCAACATGCACTGAGGCCCTGGTGGGTCCTCTGTGTTTGCGTAGGCCTGCCTTTGGCGCTGGCATTCCTCTTTCATGTCTTTAGACCCTCCCCAGTCTCTTGGCTTGTGTACTGGAAGGTCTGTCCTTTCAATGTTCAGGCAGGTAGCTTTCAGGTGTAAGCAGTTCCAAACCCTTTAAATATATGTTTTGGGGGATGTTTTTTAATTCCAGAGATCAGACTGTCAAAGCACCTTGCTGCAGATTTACAGCTATAGAGAGAAGCCAAAACAGAAATAGAAGGGCCTTTGTAAAGATTAGCTTTTTTTAAAAAAAAATTGCTAGATTTCCTTATGATCATGCACTAAAAAGAGCAACTTATGAGAGAGAGGCTCTTAGAGGCTGTGAGCAAGGTTTGTTTTTTTTTATTTATTGTTTATAAACTGTCTTGGGCTTTTCTGGCTGAGGAGTAAAATTTGTTAAATAAATAAATAAATAAATAAATAAACAAACAAACAAGCAAGCAAGCAAGCAAGCAAGCAAGCAAGCAAGCAAGCAGTAGAATGGGATTGCCGTCACTCCCTCAAGGCAGATTTCCACCATTTGTTGAAGTCTGAAAAGTCACGTAAAATTAATACTTGCAGGTCAGTTCCCTTATTATTATGTTCAGTGAGTAAAGAATGAGGCAGTGTGTGATGAAAAGAGACAGTTCATACCTGATTACCCACGTAAGCTATTGTAATGTATACTTTAAAAATTATTTTGTTTTTAGAACAAATTGAGGGAAATAAATGAAATAATTTGAGAATGTTTTGTGCATGTGCATGAGGTATTTATTGATTGGCAAGTGAGATGGTTGTATAACAAAGGAAAATAGCCATTTTAGTTTGTTATAGCAGATAAATAAAAAGAGTGTTATGTCGCTTTAAAGATTAAAAAAATGTAGCATGATTCAGGAAAGCTTTCATCAGATGTAATTCATGGCCCAAATCCTGTGGTGCTGTTATGCAAAAGGCAAAACTGTAAGCTATGTCCATAGGCATTATTTGTTGCATTCTGAGTCGCATGTAGCAGACAATGCCTACAGAGATTTGTTTTTGTTGTTGTTTAGTTGTTAAGTCGTGTCTGACTCTTTGTGACCCCAATGGACCAGAGCACACCAGGCCCTCCTGTCTTCCACAACCTCCCAGAGTTGGGTCAAATTCATGTTGGTCGCTTCAATGACCCTGTCCATCCATCTTATCCTCTGACGTCCCCTTCTTCTCTTGCCTTCACACTTTCCCAACATTAGGGTCTTTTCCAGGGATTCTTCTCTTCTCATGAGATAGCCAAAGTACTGGAGCCTCAGCTTCAGGGTCTGACCTTCCAGGGTTGATTTCCTTCCGAAGGGATAGATTTCTTCTCCTTGCAGTCCAGGGGACTCTCAAGAGTCTCCTCCAGCACCACAATTCAAAAGCATCCATTCTTCGGCGGTCAGCCTTCTTTATGGTCCAGCTCTCACTTCCATACATTGCTACTGTAAAAAACATAGCTTTGACTATGCGGACTTTTGTCAGCAAGGTGATGTCTCTGCTTTTTAAGATGCTGTCTAGGTTTGTCATCGCTTTCCTTCCCAGAAGCAGGTGTCTTTTAATTTCGTGGCTGCTATCACCATCTGCAGTGTCCGGACTCATTTTCCCTCTTCCAAACAAAGCAGAATTTCTCTTTCAAATACCCGTCCTGTATACATAGAAGAGTGGCAAGGTGCAATAGGAGTGGATGCTAGCGCATTGGTTCTTTTTGGGTAGTGGCTACACAATCCCTCTTTCTGTGTAAAGACTACACAGCATATGACAAAGTGCACTGCAGATTTTCTTGTCTTTGCTGACACCGGTTAACACTGCAAATTCTCTGGAAAAACGTACAGTTTGATTGATACTTTGCGTCTAGCCAATATTTATGGACTTAACTTCATGGAAAATTGCTCATGCTTAGCTTAAATCTCTGAGAATGGCGTGAGCTATATGCCTGTCTTATTAATAATCTATATCCTGTTTCTGAACACACACAGAGACCACGCAGATGATGGGACTTTGCCCAGGCAAGCCTAGTGCTATTTTTTTAGCTGCCAATGTGTAAATTGCTATTTTTCATTTCTACCTTAAAATTAAGACTATATGGGTTTTCCCCCTCCCCTCCGTATCTGTGTGGCTTATCTATATCTCAACAGGGTATTTCCAAAATTTGTGGGTTCCTCCCCTCCTTCTCTCTCTTTCTCTCGCTCTTTACTTTTTTTTTTTTTTTTGCTGGAGGAAGGGGGCGCTTCAATTTCTTGTCTGTTTTAATTCAGAATGTGGGTGGATGAGGTGAAGAAAGCTTTATAGAGTGATGAAAGTTGGTGCCTCAGGCAGGAAAACAATATAGCAGAACCACTGCCAGACAACCTGGCTGAGGATGGGCTGGATGTGTACCCTGCTGCATGCTCTGGCGAGATGGAATGAATGAACAAGCAAGAGGGCTGGCGTCCATTTCAGGTTTACTCTGAAGGATGACAGGGGGGAAAAGGTACATTGACAAAGGTAAAGGCAATTTACAAAGGTAAAAACAGGGGCTTCCATCAAGATTGAAAACATTTATCAACTTTGATTGCCCTCTATCTGTGTATCTGTTGGTTGCCCATATTGGAGGCTTTCTCGGTGGTAGCTCCCAGGTTATGGAATGCTCTCTCTTGGGAGATTAGGCTTGCTCCTTCCCTTTTTTAACTCCCACCAGCAACTTGAAGGCCTACCTTTCAGGCAGGCTTTTCACAATCAAGACTCTGTCCCTGAATGCCATTTTTTTAGCGAAGATAGTTTTTAACATTTTCCCCGTTTTTAATTACCGTATTTTTTGCACCATAAGACGCACTTTTTCCCCACAAAACAGGGGGGTGGAAAGTCTGTGTGTCTTATGGAGCGAAGAAAACAGATTATATTTTCCTGTTTTCTTCTCCTAAAAAATTAGTGCGTCTTATGGAAAGGTGCGTCTTATGGAGCGAAAAATACAGTATTCAATTGAATTTCAGTTTTATAGTTCAATTTATTCAGGTCTGTTTTACTGTCTTTTAAATTTCTGTTCTCCTTAATATTGTGAGCTGCCTTGGATCCCCTTATTGGGAGGAAGGTGACCTATAAATAAGACAAATACAGTATGCAATTTTTGCATCAATCAGATCAGCAAGCAAACAGTCTGAAGGGTGAGCTGCTGGCCTCCTCAGGCCCTTCTCCAAAATTGCACTTTTCAAAGCAGCAGCCCTATTAGTCTGTTTCGGTGTGTTTCACAAAAACAAAAAAAAAATGAATATATTGAGTCGTCTGTTATAAAAAAAATTCAGAAGGTGCCTAGGTTTGTCCTGAGGGATAGTGGAATTCGGTGTTACTTGGACAACTTACCAGTGCAAAATATGTATATATGTGTTTGATTCACTCATGCAAGAATGATCTCTAGAGGCATAGCCACATACGCACATTGATCATGTATTGAAGAATTCCTTTATTTGCAGTCTTTACGCAAATCCAGATTTAGCCCTGAACTTGTTTCTAATCATGGGATTCAGTATCCTATCAATTCAATGCGTTATTAATAAATTTACAGTGTACTAGAACAAAGATTCCCAAATGTGTTTTCAAAGATGGTTTGTCCCATCTCTGACTATGTAATAGCCTTTAAAGTGGTTTGCTTATGTTATATGTATGCCCGTAATTATTTTGCAATGCTAGATCTCCTTTTGGACTGTACCACTTGAGAATGCAGATGAAGATTCACATGATGACTGAGTAACATGTTTTGTTGCTCTTTCCCCTACATCATAGAAGTTTCATTCCTGAAACTGTAATGGGAAGACTGAAAATAACTGGTTTTCATTGAATATTTTATTTATTTTATTTTATTTTATTGCTTTTATAACCTGCTCATCTAGTCAACTGACTACTCTGGGCGGCTTCCAACATATATAATAAAACAAAATGAAATGTAACAACATGATAGACATCGATCATCAAATTATTCAAGATGAAAAGAGATAAGGAAAAAATCATAACTGAAGGAAAGGCCTGCCTAAACAGCCAGGTTTTCAATTGGCTTTTAAAGATGCCCAGCGAAGGGGTCGCGTGAATCTCAGGACGAAGATTATTCCAGAGGTGAGGAGCTACCACCGAGAAGGCCCAGTTTCTTGTCTTTTCCTTCCGGACCTCCCTCGGCGTCAGGCTCCTCAGCCTCACCTCCAGACTAGATCGGGTGATGCGGGTAGATTTTGGTGGGAGTAGGCATTCCGCCAAGTATCAAGGCCCTAAACTGTTTGTACATAAGCATTAAAACTTTGAAGTCAACGCGGAACCGAATGGGCAGCCAATGCAAAGTGGCCAGAGTGGGAGTGATATGATGGTATTTTCTCACTCCACTAAGGAGTCTGGCCACCACATTCTGCACCATTTGGAGTTTCCGCATCAACCTCAAAGGTAGCCCCACGTAGAGCACATTACAGTGGTCACTCAACATAATAGCTATGGAAGCTGGGAGAGAGATTCCACCCAATGTCCAGTTTGAAAAACGACAAATACTCAAGATGCATACATGGAAGGAGAGTCAAAAACTGTGTCAATGAGCACCTGGCTCCAGAATGAACTATTTCTGATTATTTTATCCTTTAAAAAAACACGAGAAGGGGTACCATGAGTCAGATTTACTTGATGATGTGCAGTTATTATTACCTGTATTATTGTCCATGTGACTACCATTTGACAAAAGTGGTCTGGCTTGCCACTGGGGAAACCCACCTCCTTTTAGCAAAGCAACAGAGGAGAACGGGTAGTGTTTCTAGAGTGAGCTTTTCAACCTGTTCTTCCCTTCTAGAAAAGAAGAGACAAAAAAAGACAAAGCTTACCAATGACTGGCGGGAACGGAGGAATGCTATTCGGCTCACCAACGAATACACTGTGGAAACACTGGTGGTGGCAGATTCTGATATGGTCCAGTACCATGGGGCTGATGCTGCTCAAAGATTCATTCTCACCGTGATGAACATGGTAGGTCCTCACCTTGTTCTTGGTTTATCTGAATCCCAAACTGTCCTGCTCTTTATGTTTGGACTAAACGAAAAATAATAATAAAAAAATAATAGTAACTACATCCAGGGGATAAGCTTTGCGTCATTTGGTGTTCACTAATTTCCTGAATATCAGGAGGGAAGGAGCCCAGCGTATCTCAGTTGGGAAGCTTATTTCAGAGACCAGGGGGCCACCACTGAAAAGCCTTGATTCCTTGCCATTGCCTTTTTGGCCTCCTTCGATGTAACTACGTCTAGCAACATGGACTGAGCCGAGCAGGTGAAACAGATAGCTGATTTTTGAGAAAGAAGTTCCAGCAAGTACTGAGGTCCTAAACCTTTCAGGTCTTTATAAGTCCTAAGCTGTTCTGATTGCGGGCGGGAGTTATTGGAACTTAAATGCTTTTTTAAAAAAATTATTCATTTATTTTACTTAACAAACCCCCTCTTGTCCTAACAGGGTACATTTGTGAATGTGTTCTCCTCTATTGTTCTAACCCAGTGATTCTCAAACTGCAGTCCCTAACCAATGCCCACTCAGATCAGATCATTTCTGTACTCTTTATACAATACAGTTCTTGATAGAACGGGTTAAATCTTGTTTTCTCCCGGCTTCTTTTCAAATAACATTCAATTCTAGGAAGTGGGCTCATGCCTTCTTTTGTCCCTCCAAGCAGAATCATAGGTGTTTTTTTTAAGGAAAGCAAAAGAAGGTGAAACAGATGATATCTGTATATTGCAAGTGAAGTTTTTCATGAGACATGCTTAGTTTTGTGTTGAAAATGAGTTTTCCCACAAGTCTTACGTCATTCTGGTTTCTCTTTGTATTCTGTAAATGTCATCTTAGGGGCAGAACTGGAATGGCAGACAGAACATCCCCACTGGTGAGTGGTGGGGATGTTTCGTTCCAGCTCCTTTTCATTGATTTTGGACCCCATATGTAGGGCTTTTCTTAGAAAGAATGATTTGCTTACCTCTCAAGAACCATCTGCTCCTGCTTCCTAACCCTACCGCTCCGGTAGTTAGCGTGTTCCATTGCCTGTTTAGTCTGCCTTTTAAAACTAGATTATGTTTGTGCTCTCTAGTGTTGAAAGAGCCTATAGATGCCAATAGTTAAAGACAACCCCATGAATCCTGTCCAGCTTTTGTGTCATACTCTAGCCAGACCAGGAGGGGTGGGGAGAACTCAGGACAGGGTTATGGGACCGGTCTTGTTTCTACAGGGCTACCACTGTGTTTGGCAGAGGCAAGCTCAACAGACTGCATTCTGGGACTTGATTAGGAAGGATAAAATCTTTCTCTAAAGTAAGATCACAGAGGGTGCCAACTGCAGGGGAGAAGTTTAGCTCCAGCTCCATTGCGTCCCCATTTATACTGTTTTTTGCTTTTTCATTTAAGTGCCAGATATATAACTGAATTGCAGCCATTCACTCCTGCGAAAAGAATGAAAACATTGTAGTGGAGCCAGGGTCTCCTTTACACCTTTGACAGCTCATTGTTCTGCTCATATAGGAATCTCAGGTGCCAGGGATGGGGACGGGCTTGAATTCCATATAGCTCGATCAAATTGCACCTCCATAGGTGCTTTTTTTTTTTTTTTTTTTTTTTGTTAAATTCCCCCCCCCTTTGTTTTTTTTTTTTTTTTTTTTTTTTTTTTTTGCTGGCACCTGCCATCCTGATGTTAGCCTCCTTGCTAGTGTTGAATTACAAAGCACAAGATAAGCTTTGAATGATGAATGGGCCCTTGGGGAGGGGGGGGAGTGATGGAATTCCAGCCTTCACAAAGCAGGAATGTTTTCCACCTCTTCTGATGAGTGGTGATGACCGGACAGATCAGAATTCAGCGGCTTCGTTTTTTCGGCTAGCATGGCAAGATGAACAGCTGCCTGTAAAAGAAATCAGAATGTTAATGTTGGCACGTGTGCCAGGATTTAAGCAAATAGACCATTGCTGTTAGGGAGGAGGGGGGGATTTATTAATTTGGCTCCTTTAGCTATAAGCCATTACATTTACTGTCAAACCGCAGAGTTAAGACTTGAAATGGCTTATTAGTTGCACACATTATATTTATAGTTGTTTTAATCTTGGGATCTGCTTAAAGCAATTTAATATCTGTTTGTTTCGAGACAAAGCCAGCATTACAAAGTGTGGTTTTATTTTTGCAGCTGCTGAATATGAGTTAAGGGGTGAGGGGGGGAAGATGCTACCCAAAATAAAATAAATCCTTTTCAAAAGACGCAGATTGGATGGTGGACCTCCAAAGCCAAATTTCTGCTTTTAATGTATTTTTGAAAGCTTTGATCCTGTGCCATAAACTAGTATTAAATTATGAATATATTATTAGAATTCTTAAGTTATGCTTTAGAAAACCTTTTATGAAAAATTAGGGGTGTTTGTGCACGATTTGGAGGTCGTGTGGTGGTGGTGGTGGTGAGTGGTGGGGATGAAAAACCAGGACTTCAAAGGAACACGACGTATACATTTTCAGAGAATTACATAGTGTACATCCCTTGTGACACTCAACAACTTCAGAGAGAAAATGGTGAATGTCATAGCTACAATGCCTTGCTTATAGAAAGTTAGCTTATGGAGTGAAAAGTTCTAGCCTACCTTTCCCCCTACCTTGCTAGTTTTCTATAGATGGGGAGTATCAAAAAGCTTTGCTTTTTGAAGACAGCTTAGCATTCAAACTGAAATCCTATAGACCTAGGAGAAAGTCTCAATAAATCTAACGGGACTTATTTCCGGGTAGATATGTGTGTGGCTGTTATTGTTGTTTTTATTAGTTTTATTAATACAGTGGTGCCACGCTTGACAATGTTAATTCGTTCCAGCGAAATCGCTGTAGAGCCAAAACATCATCAAACGAAATAAAAAAGCCCATTGAAACGCATTAAAACCCAGTTAATGCGTTCCAATGGGCTGAAAACTCGCCGTCCAGCAAAGATCCTCCATAGGGGCGGCCATTTTCCATGCCTGTGCAGCGAGGAATCCATCCCTAAGCACACCGGGGGGGCATTTTCTTCAGCCGGCGGCCATTTTGAAACCTGACGATCAGCTGTTTTTGATCATCGTAAAGCGATTTCTTCATTAAGCGATGCAATCGTTAAGCAGGGCACAACTGTAGCTGCTCTTAGCTGGTGTAGCCTGAGAGATCTGAAGGTGTTCCAGTACTGTATAACATTTGTAGGCAATGGGTCTTCAAGAGCTGAGATTGGACAGGGTGCTTTTTCTGACTACAGCTCCCCGGATTACCATGTTGGCTGGGGATTTTGGGAGTTGTAGTCTAAAAAAAAGTTTCCATGAAATTTCTGTGTGCAGGCCAGCCTGAGATGACCGTCAGTGACTTTGTAAGGGTCATGAAAAGAAAGGGAACTGCCGAAAGGAAGAAGCCACCAAACAATCAGGTGTCTCTAGCTATCCAACATGGTAGTCAAGGATGTTGTCTTACTGTTTCCAGAACTTCCCAATTCACCCATTGTTGTTCTCCCATTTGCTGACTGACAAATTTTACTATAAAATGAGCTTTCGTGGACGGTAGTGCTGTCTAGAATTTAAAGTGTACTGTACATGGTTGTGTTCTGGGACTGTAAGAAAAATAAGATGGAGATTTCCTAAACCATAGAGACTGCCACAGCAGCCAAATCAAGCTATCAAGGGTAAATAAATAATATTTTTAAAAGAATGTAGCCCAGGAGAAGTGATCTGTTTTGCTTTTTCCTGCATTCACATGCTTCAAGTCTCATGTGAGCTAAAGATGAGAAGCCTAATAGGGAGAAAAAAGTGAATGAAAAGAATTTGTAAATGGGAAGACGACATCTAGGACTTGATTCTAGATGAGCACATTGAGCTGGCTTGTACTACAGAGACCTTTGTAACTCTGGCCGGGCAAATGTCTAATCGCTGTGCACATCTAGATTCTCTGTGTAGCATCAGGAAATGTCCGGGGGGGGGGCTAGGGAAGCACAAATGTGGGGTGTTACCATGACTTCATTCCTCCCCAAGTGTCCTGCACCCCTAGTTTGCTGAATTTCAGTGTGTGTATATCTGGAGGTGGATGTCTTGGACAGAATAAGGATTCTGTTGGTGTACCGTCACTTAACAGTGCCTCTTCCTGATTTAGCTGACTTCATCTCGGTGAAGGTGGGAGAATTCCTTTAGCTTTTAATACTTGGGAACATCAACATCCATGCAAAGATCACCTTGTCAGGAGTGATTCAGGACTTCAGTCTCTTCACGATGACATGGATCTGTCTGAAATAATACCTGGTTTCTCTTGGCTTTCCAACCTTTACAGGGGTGTTTTAAGATAGAGACTTTGTTTGTTCCGTACCTCGATAATGCTGAATACATTAAAATGATAAAAATCCCATATCATTATTTTATTTTAGCCGTCCAGGAAGTGGATAATGGCAGATAGTGTATTTGAAAATGCTATCCTGGGTTTACGCCTGATACATCAGAAAAGGAGCTGGCTCGTGCTTCATCTCTAGTTGTTGCCTGAAAAAATAAAAACACAACATCGCAACAAGGAAATCCCATTTTGTTTTGTCTCTGAAACATCTGTAAGTGGAGAGATCAGGCTTAAGCGGGCGATTTAGAATCCAAAAGGAAGCTACAAAGGGAAACACAACTTTATTCCAAATATATAACATATAAACATTCCTTTTTAATAATATTCAAGGGATCACTAATTTCATGTTACTGCTTGCTGCTTTCAGGAGACTCTTCAATTAATCACATGGTTTAGCAACAGCTGCAGGAAAAACTAAGAATATAACTTAGAATTACATGTTGGCCTGTGGTGTTTCCTGAAATAGAAGCAAGTTCAAGTCAAAACCCCAAAGAAAGTATAAGCCTGCTTTAAAAAGTGATTGTTTAGTTTGACCCAACAGCAATTTATGGTGGAAAACATTCTTTCTAATGTCGCTGCTCCATGATAGTCTTAGATATCTGAACCTCATCTTTCTCTAAAGGCGAAGGGGTTAGAAAGTCCTGCATAAATTGTAGACCAGTTATTTAACGAAACACACTTGAATGGTTAGAGATGACAGACGTTTGATAGTATTAAGTGTGCTAATTTACTAATTGGGTTGTTTTGCTGAGTTGAGGTTTCTGGAAGGTCTTTTGCTTCTTGCTCAAGAGCAGAAATTATAAGCCCTAATTAGTTCTGTGTATTTTGAAAATGCTAGCTCTCCCGAAAGGGCCAACATTAATGGAGTCTGGATAGGAAAAATGTAGAGCCTGGAGGAATCTGGCAAATTGGGCTTGACACTAGATGATACTGTTAGCCCACGGGCAGAAACATGGCTCAGCTCCCGGAAGTGTTAAAAGATCCCCGGTTGTCTTTGCACAAGCTTGTCTTCCTCTAGGTTTTGCCAATTAACTTTCTTTTGTTTTTGTGCTTTGCCTTTGAAAAGTAAACACATTGGTTGCCTGATTGTATCTAGAAGGAACTGCATGCCAGAGGGAAATGCACTTTTTCTTTAAAAATGGGATTTTGCCCTTAAAGGAGGAACGAGGATGGGGTTGGGAATGTTTCGGTAGTTATACATTGGTCTGATTTCTATCATAGAGGAAAGGCAGAACGTAAAGGTAATAAATCATCTCTCCGTTTGTCATGACCTGCTTAAAGTAAGAAACCAGACGTGGTGCAGCAGCATAGAGAAACCAGGTCCCTGCTTCTGGAATTGTTCAGACGGCGCAAACCTTTCCTCAGTCGAACCTGGACCAAATAGTTCAAAATGGTTTAAAAGATACATGGTTATCTTGATCTGTCGTCAGCAAGGCGGGATGTGCGGCTTTACTGCTGCGATTTCACAGGTCTTACAGAAACGGGTTTGGGTTTTTCCGTGCCCAGTGCTAGCACTGCTGTTTGAAAGAGAGTGGTGGGCGAATCCGAGACCCAGATCACTGATGCATGCAAATATTTATAAGTCTACCAAATGGCTCTCCACATTCTGACCAACTTATATCTTGGGTACAAGCTGCTGGGTGATAAATAACCCTGCTCCCATTTGTGAAGGTATCTCAGATATTCTCATCCATCTCATAATTAGTTAATGAGATAAATGAGAAAGCTGGGTGGGTTTTTTTTTTTTGCCCCCAGTTACTCCAACTGTACTATTGTGTTGTATATTGCTCTTCTTCTTCTTAGATCAACAGGACTTAGATCAAATGGACCCAGGAGCAGCTCCTAAATCTTCCTTTTTGAGGAAGAAGATGCCATGAATGATACATATTTTTGCAATATACATGGTGAACATATTAGTAAGACAGCAGTCTTTAATGCACCCTCAGTCTCCTAAAAGGATACTGTGCTCCCTTGAAATTCTGCCTGTTTTTCATCCAGCCATGAAATTCAAGGTTTAACTAAGCATATTGTTCTTGTATGGATTCTCGCCCATGTGATGAAAGCTATCTGTTTGTCATAGCATGTGGTCATCCTGACTTACGTATCTTATGTTGAGCATACTTTTTGTGATTGGTCATTTGAAGGTAAACATGTACTCAGTTTTGTAAGTCTGATCGCTAAGGCATGTATTTTGAGGAACTCTTGTTGTGAAAAGGCAGGGCAGGTTAATTGCAGGGAATATGCAACCCCCTTAACATCCTGTATCACTTGTAGAGCAAAAACAGACAAGACAAATAGTTTAATAATTAGAACTGGAGCTGGCTAAAGATACTGTATTAGATTATCCTCCTCTACTGTTTCACAGCTTGACAAGTTGCAAATTAGCCAGTTTTTGCTTTGTGATGATTAGTCATTGAAAGGAAAATAGCAAGCTTCATTTACATGTTGATTGTGGTGACATGACAGCTGTGAAGAATGTGTCTCTGGAGTGATAATGTTCTAATTATAAGGTAGCCATCTCAATTCTTTGTGTCTTCAGACTCTTGGCCTCTACATTCCAATGCTGCAGTGTTTCTTTATAACCTCCGTATGAGTGGGTGATGTATTTCCAGTATCTGATAGCCACTCCATATTACAAGCCATTAATGCTTATTAATTTATTTTAAAAATTATTTATTTAAAGTGTTTTTAAATCCCACTTTTCTCCTTGAAAAGGACCCTAGGCAGCTTACAACATTAAAAAATACAATATTTAAAAGCCAAAAACAGTACAGTTTAACAATTATTGTATTAAAAATGGTAAATAAAGTTAATCCCACTCATTCAGTCTTCTACTTAGGAGCAACTGTGAAAGAAATACCTTTAGCTATTAGCTATCTCGGTTTTTCTTACTGCTGTTCATGAGCCAGAAGTTTATTTTGCTGCATGAGCCAAAAAACATCTATGCTCACTGGGAAAAAAGCTGTCTTTTAGTCATCAGAAACCATTAAACAAACTTCCTTAACTAGCTGTGCAAACATCAACATTGTCTACTAGCCAGCCGTGCAGTTACAGAAGAAACGGCAGCATCTCATTGCTTGACAGCACATATATGGCATTTCTGCTGCTTCAAATGTGCATACAATTTGCAAAGAGCCAAATCTTCTGTTTGGAGCCACCTTTGTTACTGGAGAAGATGGTAATCCTAAGTACACAGGAGTTATTTAAGTTTAAAAAGCATTCCAGTCTCCCACCCACACCCCATCCTTTCTTTGTCTGTCTCTGTGTGTCAGCTCAGCTGTGTCTAACCCCGGACTGAGAAATGTAATTCTGGGCTGAATTAAAATATCTGTAAGAGAGGTGAACTATCTAGGCTGGAATGTACTATCTGGAGATAAACCATATAAACTAGTTTCCTGTGGTGGACTCCCCCCCCCCCCCCCGTGCTTCCTAAAGTAAGATTTGGGCCATTCTACATTCATTCACATTTCTGTTTTGTTATGTAGCACAGGAATAACGCAAGGAAATTGCTTTTCCATTCTATTTCCTGAAGTCCAAAAGACACTGTTATTTTGCATTGCTTTCTGACAGCAGTGATGTTTTCAGTGATTTCTGACCTGCATAAGTCACAGTCTTTCAGATCATCTCAACAGGTTTAAAACTTTACTTTGATTCTCTCTGTTCCCTTAATTGCTGTTCCCGGCCTTTCATTTTCCCCAGAAGATGGATATTTTCGGTTAAGGGCCTTTGAAATGTCTGGTTCTTGTTATTTTTGACACATGCATCTGTATTTTTGTTTTAAGCCCTTGGAGGCTGTCTTCAGAAATATCTTGTTCCTTTGGGGGATCTGTCTATGGGTATGAATATTACCAGTTCAGTATAGAAAGGGGGAGAAGTGAACCAATAGTGGGTTCCTGGAACAGGCTGGGCTGAGAGACACTTGCTGGCAAAGCTGAAGAGCACTGGGTAATTCCAGATCCAAATCTCACCTTCCCCATAAACTCACCCAGGTGGCTTTGGGCAAGTCGCACCTTCATTTATAGCAATACAGTGACTTGCTTTATACAGCTTTTGTAAAAGCTGCTGGGGGGAAAAAGTGCATAAAGCTGTCTGACAACTTGAGAAGTTCTAGATAAATTTCTAAATGCTATAATGCTATTATATGCCTTCTATTTATGGCTTATGGCTGAACCTTGTGAGTCAGTGGCCAAAATCCTGTTGTGCAGTTACACAGAAGACAGAACATTAGTAGCAAATTGCTGTAAGTTATGAAATCCCTATAGGCATACAGAGTCACACAACTTGCTATACAAGACACTATGCCTACTGAGATATCTTAACTTACAGTTGTGGTCAGTCCTATTTGTTGAATAGCAGGCAGGAAAATCAGACATAGTCTTATTGTTTTAAATAATGAGCCTTTTTCTTTTCAGTTAATGCCTGGTATACTGACTTTATTTGTCCATTTCTGCTTTTGTTCAGGTGTACAACATGTTCCAACATCAGAGCCTGGGCGTTAAAGTCAATATTCGAGTGACTAAGCTCGTCCTGCTTCGAAGACGTCCTGTAAGTTGCTGACTAGTGTTGACTGAACTGTTATGGTGGCCTTTTTATTTTGTTCAGACCAGCCATTTGAAATAGCTACTTTGACAATGAATAAATGATAGTAGGATTAGAATCTTCCCCTGCGTGCTCACTGGAAGGACAGATCCTGAAGCTGAGGCTCCAATACTTTGGCCATCTCATGAGAAGAGAAGACTCCCTGGAAAAGACCCTGATGTTGGGAAAGAGTGAAGGCAAGAGGAGAAGGGGACGACAGAGGATGAGGTGGTTGGACAGGGTCATCGAAGCGACCAACATGAATTTGACCCAACTCTGGGAGGCAGTGGAAGACAGGAGGGCCTGGCGTGCTCTGGTCCAGGGGGTCACGAAGAGTCGGACATGACTTAACGACTAAACAACAACAAGGAATAGCATATTGGAAGATTGCAGAGCCCCTGGTGCCAAATCCCTCTGTGTGGCCATTGTCTTTCTTGAGGGAGTTTTCAGAAGGTGGTTGTATACATAAGCAGGGATAGTAGTGGCAGTCCACTTAAAAGTGACCATTCAGCGATGTGCTGATGTGTATCCTAGCATCAGAACTCTACATTCTCATACAGGACACTCACACCTTGTATCAGCCACTTGATAGTTTTGTGTTTTCAACTACGTCTGCCAGTTTCACATTGAAAAACACTGAACTGTTTTTGGGAAGCACTGGGTTGGGATAAGAGATTGGGGAAATCTAGGGGGAGCTTGGGGAAATCTAGGGGGAGCTTGGGGAAATCTGACTGTATGGGGAAAGGTTGGCAGTTGTGGACAGAGCAAGGTTGAAGCCTGGTGAGATACGGCTGAGACCTCAATGGATCTAACGAGCCGCAGATATTGCCATCTCACTGTCTTTTCCAAATCCTGTACTGCTTAGCTTATAGCATATGGCTTTGTTGATTGATCCAGCGAAATACAGTATGGGGATGAATCCAATCCTTTTGGACACTATTTCACCCCAAAATCTTGTTTCATTTTGGAAGTTAAGGAGGATGAGTTGTGGTTGGTGCTTTGATGGGAAAAGAGAATGCTCAGTGCTGACCTGCTGGAGCTAATTCTTCAGTTTGAAGAGATGGGGGAAAGGTGCTTCTTTCTATACTGAACTGGTTGGCGCTCTATTGATGACACAAAGTGTGCTCCGTTTCCTGCCGATTTGCCAACTAGGTTGATCCCACCTCTGTCTCTATTCAATTCCTGTTTGTTTCCCAAAGGCCAAGTTGTCCATTGGTCACCACGGAGAGAGGTCCCTGGAGAGCTTTTGCCACTGGCAAAATGAAGAGTTTGGTGGTGCAAAGTACCTCGGAAATAATCAGGTTCCTGGAGCACGAGATGACACACCTCCAGTGGATGCTGCTGTCTTTGTCACCAGGTAGCGATCCTACGATTGTCTGCTGGCCAATTTCCACAGTTACTTTCTCCACTCCCAGTGTTACTCTAAAGTTGCCAGGGGGGGAGGGGTCTCTCAAATAAGACTTCATTGGTGTCCCCTCCCCTAAAGTTGAGGGGGGTTACAAAGCCAGAGATGTCATCTTCCACATCACTCATTGCTAAGGACTAAAGCAGAATCTTTTGTCTGAGATTTGGTTTGGAGAAGGTAAGAAAGAGCTGGTCTCTCTTTCTTGCTACATTTAATCCAGCAAAGTGGCATAACTGCTATTAACACCATGAGCCGTTTGTTGATCTCAACAAAGGCCCAGCCTATCCGACTTTAAACAGTCCTTAGCAACACTGTTATTGCTGCCTTATTTTATTTACAGTCATAGGAATGGGCCATGTCTCTTTTCCCATTCCAGAGTTTACTGGTGGATTGTTCCTCTTTCAGTTTCACTTTAAATGAGGGACATCAGATGTCTTGGACAACTCATCTTATTTAGATTCCCCACAAAAATAGCTCTGTTACTTTATCTGCATGTAAGAAAGTACCACGTATGGAAAAGTTCGACATGTGTGCTGGTAGCAGGCTCTTCCTCCTCCTCCTTTTTACAAAGGGTTCATAGCGTTTCCAGAAACATGTGTGAACCGAATGCACAATGGGTGGTTTGGGAGTAGAATCTTATATTGTTATCATTCCTGCATTTCCCCCTTTCATTCCCACCTATGGTTTAGATAAGTTTGTTATATTTGAAATTTCCATGCCTTCTTTGTCTCTGTAAGAGGCCCAAGGTGAACTGCAAATGAAAACAGATGAAGATACGGTTGATCATCCCCCCCCCCCCAAATCCTCTAAAAATAGTTAAAATGAGCAACAGCAGCCATCTCTGCCAGATGGAAAAGCCCTAAAAGGATCTAAAAGGAGCTCATCTGTTGAATCTCCATTAGCAGGACAATTTTAAGTGATGGAGCCACTGCTGAAAAGGCCCTGCTTTTGTTAGTCATAAACCAAATATCAGAATGCCAAAATATATAGCACACAAAGTGTTGTTAGTAGCATTGCTGGGGGAACATAATGTCTGTCTCCCAAATAAATTGAAGTGGGAGCAGTTGGACAGCCTTAGACAGTCAGGTTTACCTGTGTCGTTAATACGAGTATTGTAAACAGTGGCAACAGTGCTTTAGCACTACCCTTCTTATCTCATTTGAGTTTTCTAGCAGACTGATCTCTTTCCACTCTCCTGTTTTTTGGGGGGTTTAAGTCTCTCTGTATAAGAAAAGGAACTGTGAGCCCAGGCATTTTACCTAGTCAGCTTCCCATCCTTTGGACCAGTTTCTCAGATGAAGTGTCACACGTTTCATTCAAAGGCATCGGGAGCTGGTCGTTCAAGGACAACTGCCAGGGCCCCTTCCAAATTAGATGGCTTTCGAAAGGTTTATGCTAGTAATAATAATAGTAATAATAATAGTAATAATAGATGAGGAGTTCTGGCTGCCACCAATTTGGACTTGGAGATTCGCTCATTTTGTGAGCAGATTGGTCCTTGTCCCAAAGTTGGGCTTCAGCAAAACCACAGCCACGCTGCAAGATAAGCCAGCGGTGTGTTACCACAACCCTTCCTTTCCTGCAGATCCCATTTTCCCCCTTTGCCCCTTCTGAACTTTCTTCTGTGTTGCAAAAGACAATGCTTCTGTTAGAATATCTTCTGGCTCTGTTCTTTCGGGTCCTATGGCACAAAAAGCCAGCAGGTTTGGATGTGTGTTTTGTGTACGTGTGTGTCTCCCCTCCCCTTTAAACACTGGTGTTTAAAATCTGTGTGTGTGCTGAATACTCCCCAGGTTGTACATATGGTAAACCAGTGGCAGAGGATGTGGAAAAAGCAAAGTTACCTACATTGGGATGGCCAAGACAAGAAAAAGCAGGAGCTAGAGTTTAAGGTTCTGTGTGGCTTCACTCTATTTTTTTACATTTTGCCATAATCAGAAAAAACCAAGCTCCTAAGAGGAGCAGTCTCTGAGCCTAATGTGAAGAGATAGTGGTCATTAGAGCTGGCTGTGTGTTAATGTTGTAGGGAGGTGACTGGCAGTCTTTCCTTGTTTTCTAAAGTAGACTTCAAAGATATCCTAAGTGCTTAAATCCTGAAGATCAGTCACCAAGCACTTAACCTGAAGGTACGAGATATTGTGACAGTGAGACACTTTCATTTATTTTTAAAATGTCCATCTTCTAGACAGAGGCTCGCTCTAACATAGGGTTCTTGCCTTTCTCCACGGCAGACGGGGTTTGAGGAGGAGCCCAACACAGCTGAATCCTGAAGCCCAAAACAGGTGCTTACAGGTAGACTGTACTGGAAGAGGAAGATTCTTAACCAGTCTGTGTGTTGCAACACAAATGTACCTCCAGATTTTCAAAGTTAGCTTAAATTCTAGCGAAATTTGGTGGCAATTCCAACTGCAAGAATTTTTCCCCACTGCGTGGAATTTCTTCACTAGCCACAGACAACTAAAAAGACTCACAAGGCTACAGGAAGGCACTATCCACTCAGAGAACAAGCGAACGTTTCTGTGGGCCCCACAAGATGTTTGTACACTGCCTGGGGAATTCTGAGCGCTTCAGTCCAAAAACACAAATCTGATGATTATCTCTGGTGGAAACTCTTTGAAAAATGTAAGCTGCGTTACTCCAGGATTTGGGTCCAATACCTTTCCTTGTCTTCTTCATGCCATAGACGATTCCAAGCAGAAACTTCTTAATTTCTCTTCAAGTGCTGTGTGCCTGGTGGGCTTACTAATTAACTAATTACTAATTAAGAGGATGTATGCATGTGCATGCACGCATTTTGACATTATGGAAAACTCTGGGATCAGACAACTTGAAATGCTCCTGATGATCTAATCAAATGTGGCAGTAGAGTCGTGGTATCGTAGAAAGAACTGGACCACTTATTATTGCAGCTGGAGACTACATTTTTATTGTTCAGCTATTTTTAAAAGTAAGAGAGAACTACCCTCAGTAAAGTAGTACACATGATGGAGAGAGAGGCTGAACTTTGTCTAGGATGTGCAACATCTGTTTGTTTTTGCTTGCAATGTGTTTTTCCCCCTATCAGGAAAGTCAGAAATGTCACTATGTTTTTGCAGCCAAAGGCAGTACAATCTATTACCTCCTTCTGCTGCATGTGGCCTCAGTGGTATTGCCACAGAACAGGATCACCTAAGCCAGAGTTATGGGAGGTGTATACAGTGGGGTCTTGACTTGAGAACTTAATCCGTATTGGAAGGCGGTTCTCAAGTCAAAAAGTCTGTAAGTCAAGTCTCCATTGACCTACAGTGCATTGAAAACCGATTAATCCCGTAACAGGCCGTTTTTGTTCCATTTTGGGTTTTTTTCTGGTCTGTAAGTCAAATCTCAATCTGCAAGTCAAACCTAAATTTTGCGGCCAGAGAAGTCTGTAACTCAAAAAGTCTGTAAGTCAAGCCGTCTGTAAGTCAAGGGTCCACTGTATTTTAGACTCTAGACATGGCATTGATATTTAATAAATTTGCATGCACGCGTGTAAAATAATAATAATACAGTGCTTGTAAAGAACCAGCACACTGGAGAGAAATGTTTATTTAAAATATTTATATGCCACCTCTGTCCTCTGAAGATGCCAGCCGCAGAGACTGGCGAAACATTCGGAAGAACAACCTTCAGAACACGGCCAAAGAGCCCGAAAAACCCACAGCAACTATTTATATGCTGTTTGTCAAACGCAATATATCTGACTAGTACATTATATTTAACACAAATACAAGTGTAGAGTCATCCCGGGCCAAGAAAATAAAACAAAATGGCAATTTAAATCATAGAATAACGACAGAAGGTTTTTAAAACATGCTGAAATTGCAACAGAAAAGTCAGTGCCTTTTTTTTTTTTAAGGGCATTCTAAAGAAAGTACAGTGGTGCCTCATTTAATGACGATAATCCGTTCCAGGAAAGTCATCATTAAGCAAAAACATCGTAAAGCGAAATTAAAAACCCCATTGAAACACATTGACACCCGTTCAATGCGTTCCAATGGGGTAAAAACTCACCGTCCAGCAAAGATCCTCCATATGGCAGCCATTTTCGCTGCCTGTATAGTGAGGAATCCATCCCTAGGCACAGCGGGGAGCCATTTTAAGCACCCAGCGGCCATTTTGAAAACCTGACGATCAGCTGTTTTTGATCGTCGTAAAGCCAAAATCGGTTCCCAAAGCGGGGAACCGATCATCGCTAAGCGAAATTCCCCCATGTAGACCATCGTTTTGTGATCGCAAAAAGATTGTCATAAAGCGGATTCATCGTAATGCGGGGCAATCGTTAAGTGGGGCACCACTGTAGATACAAACAGAGAGAAATCCTCCGCTGTTGTTATTGACAGGACATGGCCTGGACAAGTTGAGGCGCTGGGTAGATCAATGTGGGAGAAAGCTTTCTCTTAGCCATCACAGTCCGAAGTTAGACCAGGCTTTATGGTTTAATACCAAAGACTCGAAGCCTAGCCTGGTAGCAAACCAGCTCCTCTTCTGTAGTATAGAACTATTGTTTTACATGCAAGGCAAAGGGCATGGGTGCAGCTGGGAATTCTACCACCTTCTTCTGTGTAATGTAAAGAATGGTTTTCTGCTGCCAATATTTTCTCCGTACATTTTCCTTTCCATTGCAACTTTTTAAGAGTTCCCAGATGGACCCTTGGCATTGAAGGATAAGATGATTTTGCACTCCTGGCAGTCAGTCAGTCAGAGATGGCTGATGGCGCTCTGCTATTTGACACTGTGAAGAAGGGGAAGGGGAGAGAGAGGAGGCTGTCGGGAATTGCCTGGAACCACCAGCCCCCTTGTCATCATTGCGGTGCCTCCCAAGCGCAAGAGGCAGAAAGGCTCTGTTTTTATTTGCTAAGCTAGCGAGCCCCTTAGGCGAAGAGCCTTTTCCAACCATGGCCTCCCGCCACTTACTCAAAGTTCACAATAAAAGCATCTGTTTGATTTACCAGTTTATATAACATAATAAATCCTTAAATAAACTTCTGTCGAGCTGGCTCTGGGAACTTCTGTGAGGGGCGTTCGTGCCAGCTGGGTCAAGAGCAGAATGTCATCCACTGCCTTGTGGAAAGGCTTGTATTTCAAATATTCAGACACGATAAAGCAGCCCTGGATTCCTTTGGTTCACTGGAAGGAGCTGAGAGTTTGTCTTAGTGCTGCTTGCGTTAAATCCTTTTGGATCGCTCTTCCTGAGCAAGAGAAGGAGTGACTGAGTTTCGGGGAAGCGGGTGGAAATGAAAGAAACGGAGAGAACGAGTGCCTTTAATAATTTTAAATTAGTGTGGACTGAAGACACAGGTATCATATTTTTGGCGCAGTAGGAGCAGATTCTGAAATGTTTTCCACTATGTTTTGAAGTCCCTCTTTCTGTCCATGGGCAAAACGGTTCAGGCTCTCCCAACAGAAGCTGAGGTTTCAGTCATGCCTGTCGTCTGTCAGAAGTGCCTCCCCCGCTTCCAAGCTATGGACCATCTGTAGTTTAAAAATGTTTGCTAAATGTGGGAGGTTGACTCCGTTATCGTCTCAGACACTGCGCTTAAAAACCAGAACAGCAACAAGGTGGATAATCCCTCTGGAGCGAAAGTGGGACCCTGTGCTTGGCTGAATCATAGCCCATCATCCCTGCCTGAGCCACAGGGCAAGTGGCCAGCTGCTCAGTGAGTAGAGGGCTGAAATTGTGGTTGCAGTTTGAGGAGGTACTCAGAAAGAGCGATTCCCATTTGCCTCCTTCTTACCGTAACCCTCCTTCAACATGGCAGACTGGCTTTTCGCAGTGCCAGTTGATCTATGTGTACATATGCACCTCACAGTTGTGAGAGGGAGGAAATAAGTGCAAGCTACTTTCTTAGTGCACCATTTTCATTATAACACTTTTAATACAAAAATAGAGTACAGTGGTGCCTCGCTTAACGATGTTAATTCGTTCCAGCGAAATCGCTGTCGAGCGAAAAGATCGTAAAGCGAAAATAAAAAACCCATTAAAACGCATTAAAACCCGGTTAATGTGTTCCAATGGGCTAAAAACTCACCGTCCAGCGAAGATCCTCCATACGGCGGCCATTTTCGGTGCCTGTCTGGCGAGGAATCACTCCTAGAAAACAGTGGGGGGGGCATTTTTTTCAGCCAGTGGCCATTCTGGAATCCGACGATCAGCTGTTCGCTGATCGTCGTAATGCGAAAAATCAGTTCCTGAAGCAGGGAACCGATCATTGCACAGCGGATTTTGCCCATAGTTAAGCGGATTTGTAGTTATACAGAGCAATCATAAAGCGAGGCACGACTGTAGAGCTTTTATCCTTCCACGATCAAATGCTTCGTCATCAGTAGTACAAGAGAAAAAGTTTTAAAAGATTCTGTTCTTGCCCTTGTAATTCTGGTGGAATAGAAACATTGACTCCTGGTCTTTTGCACTGTCCTTCTATCTTGGAATTTGGGAAATATTTATCTAACCTTATATAAAGTTACTCCCTGGATACTCAAGAGTCATGTTATAACCTTTTATTGTTGCCAGGGCAAAAAACACAGGCAGGCTGTCAGGACCAAATATAAGTATGTTGTGTAATGTAGCAAAAGTTTGTCCAGCTGCAATTAGAATCCGTGAAAGGAAGGTGTCAATAAATTTTTACCCAGCTTTTAGTTAACATTAATAGCAAGACTTTTAGTATATGTATATATTTTTTGATATTGTGTGTTTTATTTGTATGTATTTAGGATATTGGTCACTGACCGTAATAAAGTCTCTATTTATCTATTGTTATAACATTTGTATTTTCCCACATTGCTAAACAGTTCTTTGATAAGATGGTGGAATAAAATAGGGGCAAAGGTGGGGAAGGTGGAATCAGCCACATGCTAATAGGCTATGTGTAAGAAGACACTTTATGCTGGTATTTACTAGTAATAATCAGTGGTATAGATTTAGGAGAATGCTCCATGATGGTCTGCCATTTCCAAGGTCAAACTATGTATGGAACCTTTTCTTATGTTTGCACAACAAAACTATGTTGGAATTGCTTGGAATTGTAGTATAGCTCAAACCAGGCAATACAGTTCACATGTCATTAGAAACGGTACTTCCTTTAGTAATGAAAGATGTTTGATTGTCAAGGCATGTGAAACTTTGTTCATGAGGAACTGTATTCATGATTGGCTCCTGGCAGTTTTAAAGAATGCTAAAGATGAATGCTCAGCGCTTGTATGACTCCTTTCCTAACTGTTGTGATTATTTATTCTTTTTTAGGACAGATTTTTGTGTCCATAAAGATGAGCCATGTGATACTGTGGGTAAGTGAACCTAGAGATTACATTCCATTTACATTCTCCTTGTTTTATGTGAAGGACGGGGTTCTCCAGTCAACTCACATGTAGTGCAAAAGTGGTGTTTCACACTGTGCTTTCTCTTTCTGCAAAACCTGTCTTGCATATTTCCTGCTACAGCATAGATCAGACTCAGTGACATGATAGCCGCTGAGGTCCCTTCCGTTTCTGAAGTTCTGCGATGCCATGATCCCAGTACACCTATGCATGTCGAACGTGATCTATTTAAACAATCCAAACTTGTTTCTAGGTTGGGAAAGTTGATTTAACTTAAATCCATTCTGATTGTTAGTCATATTTTTTCCTACCAATATGCTGTTCATATTTTAATTTATAGTTGGTTGTTTGATGGCTATGTTCAGATGAGTGAACTGAATGTGTAGGGGAACTTAAGCGTTGATTCTTAAAAGCCTTATGTGAGTCTACTTTGAAATCCTTGGTTTCTTTTTGCAAATTTTCACTATAGTCATCTTTTGCAAACCACAGTGCATTTCTTCAAATGAGTAGGGCTTAGTTTCTGAGCAAACATACTTTTTAAGCAAAGAGTTTTGGGTGTCTTAGTTCGTAACTGTTTGCTCCCAGTGACTAATGCATGAGAGATCTAATGGTGCACCTCTGTAAAATGTTTCGTGTTCATGGTGACCCATTCATTCACAAGACCCATTTTCATAGCACAATGTTGCATATCACAGTTCTTTAATAGGTTTTCGTAACCTGGAATGTTCTGGGCATGTGTTGTATGTGAGTATGCGCATCCTGTGTTAATATGAATAAAAATTACAAGAAAAATAGCAATGAAAAGCTAAAGTGTATAAGGAAGGGGTTTTGTCAAAATCTTGGCTGCCTAGCCTTTGACTGATGGTTAAATTAAGTAATAGAGCGAGTACATTTTTAGTAGCAAGACTTCTTTAAGCACTCAAAGATAACTGTTTGTCATCATTCAGAAAAAAATCAGGACGAGGCCATATGGTCCTCAAAACAAGACAAATGCAGGAACAGATGATACTTTTATTGGACCATTAAGGAAATAAAACAAAGAAATAAAGCAAGTTTTTGATGAATTATCACCGAAAGCTCGCTTTATTGTTTGCTTTTTGTTGTATTTCCTTAATGGTCCAATAAAGGTATCACCTGTTCCTGCATTTGTATTGTTTGTCATCGCTCATGTTTTTTCGTCAGCTCTGTATCTTGCATTTAGTCATGCTTTTTTCTGATTGGTTGTTAGTAAACACGGGTATACTTTGCAGATCTGATTGTCAAGACATTTTGTTCCTTGAAAGGAAAACATGCTAATCTCAGGGAATGTGTATTTCTCATAGCGTCTACTTTGGCCTTCATTTCATTCAGTGTTGTTGGCCGGGCAGCCCTAGGTCAATACAAAATATTATCCCTCTTAGCATTTGCTTGCAGTAATTTACCCCTATTTTATGTATAGCGCAGATGATAATTATAGGAAACAGAGCACATTAGATAGCTGTAGAAGTACGGTGAGACACAACATCCTCTGTTTTCAGTGTTAATCAGATCTGCACTGAATCGTCACCTTAAAAATGAGGGCTTATGTCTCACAACACCTTGGTTGTCTCCATGTCCAATGGAAACCATATTTTGACGAAGGAAGCATTTAAGCTGTGTGCCTTGGTCCAGATGTGGCTGCAACACAGAGCTAGGTGAGCTGTGTGCAAACAGAAACCCAACAAAAGACACATGCTATCACTTAGGAACCAGTGTCTCTGTTTATAATTCTTCTGGCCAATTTCATTCAAAAAAAATTTTTTTAAGGTGTAACTTATAACACATCTTCTGCTTTTGTCATCTATCTGAAGTCTGGTTGTGAAAACATTAGGGCAGGAATATAAGGGATCTCTTTTTTTTACAATACAGTACAAATTTATTCTACAGCCAAAGGCCGGATAAACTTTTTCTTGGGATAAACAGTTGGAAGATTCTCCGGGAGCATCTGCGTCTTTCTCATATTCTTTTTATGTTTTAAAATAGTATTTGCCTATATCCTAATCTGTAGCTCCACCTGCACAAGAAGAACTTCCTTTTTCGATATCAGGATATGCACAACTCTGTTCTATGTGTACGTGATTTGCATGAACACCCCAGAATTGTGAAGGGAAGTCTCTAATCACCAGCAACCTGATGCTCATGATAACATCATTCCTGATGTGCAGGTGGAGCTCTACAACAGGATACCAACCGGTATTAGTTAAGGCTACCTTTAAGTGATTTGAGGCGTGCTAGGAGGGGCAGTGCTGAACAAATCACTTTGGAGAGTTAGATGCATTGCATAGACATCCCTTGAATTGTGCTTTAGCAAATGAGTTCCTAATCTACAGAGTTTAGTAGTTTAAGAAGAATGAATATACTGGCAGTATCATGGGACTCAGACCATTAACCTGCCACTGTTCAGTTATGGTTTATTGTTGAAACCACAGCGCAAGAAAGGTTACCTCACCCTTGCCACCGCAGACAGTTGTAAGAGTCCTACCCATGGTGCTGCTCCTGATACTTCAACATACTTTGCGTCTGTGGCTTTTTAGAGCCAGCCTGGTATCTGAATGGCATGCATGTGTAATGCACGTTTAACAAACAACTCATAGCTGTGGTTGTGTTAGCATCATGCATGTGTGTGCATGTGTCTGGTCTCTGAGTGTCTGTGAATTTCATTGTATGGGTATACTGTGTATATACTTACAATCACAATAAATAAATAAAAAAAAACTAAAAAAAAAACTGTGTAATAATGTATTGTGCCACTTTAAGCTGCACAATCCGTAATTATAGCTACATGTTCTCTGATACCAGAGACCAAATTATGCATGCCATGGAGAGAGTCACTTTCATTCTTCCTTTCAGTCATCATCCGACACAATTCATGTTCTCTGATATCATTTAGAGACTGGGCATCTTTTCCAGGCAGAGTACAATGTTATCTACCTGTGTTGCCAGTGTGCAGCTTAGTGTGCTTGGCCCCTGGGTCCTTTACTTATTTCCTGCTTTTCTCTCTGCTGCTCTGCTTAGTCTCAAATGTGGGAGCTATGCGCGCATTACCAGAGTGTGCACATAATAGGCACCATTTCCTCCACTGTGTGCACCTTTCCATGACATCTGACAAATGTGACATCCTTTCTGCCTGCTCTCCTTTCTACTCGTGTGAACCCCGATGCAACTCACCATCCAGGTTCTGCACAGACTAGAAGTTCTTCTTGGCGACTCCGCGTGCTGGAGAAAAACAGCACCAGGCGGCTTGCATTTGTATTTTGGCAGACGGTCCTTGCTGGAATGGACTGCTCGGGGAATGAAATTCAACTGCCAAGGTAGCTTTGAAGGTTACATAATGACTGAACTGAGTTCAAAAACAGGGGAAAATATGTAGGTATTCATTTGTGGGATGAGACCGTGCTGGCGCCTCCAAGAAGCAGAACAGCCACATTTGAGTTGGAAAGCATCTGCTGGCACTTAATGTACTTGCTCAATTGATTATCTGGCCCCAAACAACAGCTGGAATCTCTTGGCCCCCGCCCCCACCCCACCCCAAAGTAGATGTGAAGAAGAAAGACAGACAGTCCTGCATACGGATTTGTAGCAGCGATATTATAGGTGGCAAGAAACCCACAACTCACGGCCCCGAACTCTGAATGCTGTAAGGCAGAAGGGCTTGCTTATAACCAGTTTGGTGTTTGCTGATGACAGAAGCTAGTTAAACAGTCTGTGGGGTGCGACTGTCAGCCTTCAGCCGTATCTCTCATGTTGTAACTTGAACTCGCTCTCCTGTTTCCTGCCGAAATCTCTGTTCCAGCCACGCTGTCTTCGCACGAGCCAAATAGGCAGAGCTCAGCATCTAGCTCTTAATATCCTGTAGAAGAAGTCTGTATTTTATTCATGTATGTGTTTGTTCTCTCTCTGTTTAGATAGATAGATAGATAGATAGATAGATAGATAGATAGATAGATAGATAGATAGATAGATAGATAGATAGATAGATAGATAGATAGATAGATAGATAGATAGATAGATATAGATATAGATATATAGATATAGATATAGATATAGATATAGATATAGATATATAGATATATATGTATGTATTTTTTTAATCCTGCCTTTTCATACCATTGTCTCTCAAAGTTGCATGCATGAGGCAGACTAGAGGCAGGCCCTCCTACCAAGCTTACAGACTAAAAGAATAAGAGAGAGAGAGAGGAGAAAAGAAAAGGAATAACACAAATGAGAGAAAAAAAGATAAGAGGGAGAGAGAGAGCTTTAGGTCCATTCTTTAGGACCACAATGGAGCAATGAAATAAAAGGCATTTATACGGGTAGACTTTGTTCTTGCATTGAATATCTATTGGTGCCTGTTCTTCCTTTGACGGGCGCACAAGGGAAGAAAGGATTTTCCCCATATGTTTCTGTCATGGACAACAGGCAGTTGCAAGACCTGAGTATTCTCTCAGGCTGGGAGGGGCCAGTATAAAGTGTAAGTGTTGCTTTTCTGGCTAATGGATGGGTCAAATCGATCTTTTCCTTGCATGGATGGCATTCCTGAGTAGCAAGGGGTGCAGTCCTCCCATGGTCCTAGGTCCCCCCCCATCTGAACAGAAGCCAGAAGGGAAGTGTTTTGTGTGGATTAGCCAGTATTGCAGTTCCCGCTGCTGGTTTCCAAACCATCTCTGTGTGGCATCACACCATTCCAAAGCTGAAACAACACCAAGGATGTGACTACACAGGACTGGATTCGCATCCTGTATTGCATTTAAAATCACAGTCAGTGCTCACCCAGGGGCTGTGGATTGATTCGGGAGTTCACTGTTCATATTGAGTTGCCCACAGCTCCCTTTCTTTCCTTCCTTCCTTCCCCTGGTCCTGCTTCTGCCGATCCTTCCCTTCTCTCATCCCACCTCTGCTGACCCTTTAATGTTCACTGGGGCTTGTGTAACACGAGAGCTTATAGCAGTGGT